GGACAAAGAATAAAGTTTAAGGGCTCAAATTGAAACCAAATGCAAGTCTTATGGTTTGTTTTTGTTTTCAAAAAAAAATCTGACGCGTTTATTATACTCAATATGGAAAGGACGTGCTTTAAGTTTTACGTGTCTAGAGGCCAATTTTTTTCTTAACACACTGTATTTTATGTTCAGTTTGTCTGATTTGTAAAATTTCCTCTACATAACGTATTAGAAATATATGGGATTACCTCTATTAATATGTAGTTGACGATACATATGCCGTATATAATAAGTGCCTAAGCCACTTGTACACCACAAGTCTGGAATTTTAACAAATGTCATATAGTTTTATAAAAAAAGTTTCTGTGCAACTGGATATTTTTAAAAAGTTTATCTTCTATAATTTTTTTTATTATGTTCATCAACCATTTAACCAGGTCTTCTAGGCGTTTACTCCCTTATGGCAACCGCCATGTGGGAACTGTAGCCAAGAAAATTGACCCAATATTTTTTAACCGGCAATATGAAATTGACTATTTCAGAAAGATATTCACATCATCCTGGGTCCCCCAAGCACTGGAAAAACTGCTTTAATGCACGAGGTAGTGAGTGATGCTGGCATGAACCCTCTATTTATTGACCTCAGACTGTGCAACACACCAATGTCCTTATACTATTTAATTATCGAACAATACAAAGCGTTTTATGACAAACTCAAAGCTTTGTCCAAGGGTGTTAAGGCAGTCAATATGGCGAGTTATGAAATCCAATTTAACGAATTGACCTCTGGAGTTACTGCTGAGACAGCAGTTACTCGTCTGCTTGGCGAAATTAGTGGTAGGCTTCTGCAATGGAGATGGTGGAGTGGCATGGATGTACCACCACCCATCCTTGTCATCGATGAGGCAAATAGGTTTGGCCAGTTGGGTGAAGCATCACCTGAATCTGCTAGGTTCGTTCAGACATTTCTTCAGTGGATGGTGCTGAATACAAAACAAGAACGAAAGTTTCATATAATCCTCACCTCCTCTGATTCATTCTTTATAAACTGGATCCGAAAATGTAAGTTTGATTTGTCTCTGTACATTGCTGTATATTTTCTTTTCTTTCTTATGCGTATTTGTACCATTTTTGATAGATATGAATATTATTCATTTTGAGCCATATGTTGTTGGTGATTTGTCCAAAGAGGATGCTGAAATTTTTTTCGAAAAACATGTACTTATACAATGTGAGTCTCTTGAATTTTCTTTACAACCTTTTTTTGGACACATGATCAATGCTTATACAATGGCATCTCGTCTTTGGAGCAGGTAAACCTTCTGTCTGCGAAGAGCTCACAGGGCAGTTTCACCGCATTCATAGAATTACAGGCACTCGCATGTTTCTTATTGAACAGTATGTCAATCAATACTCAGTTCAAGGAAAATTTGAAGGTGTGTTAGCAGATTTCTCTACCTTTCCTTTAAAAAGTGCAATCCACTGATTCTGATGATCTGGAACGTGATTCATAGATCACTTATTTGCCTATTACTCAAGCACTTATGATCAATTACAAACCTCCTGAGACTCTTAAGGGTATAAAGAAGCCTGCTCCAGCTTGGCAGCAGGGTGACTTTATTAAAGCCATGCGATTTATTGTGAAGAATGCGGATCAAGGATTTGTTGCAGAAATGGATTTGATAAGAGAGATTGGTGCAAGAAAACTTCTATCCCTTGTTTACTACAACTTTCTGCATCGTCAACCAACTTCCATCTACACCTTTGACATGGTCAACCCACCAAATATACCAATTTTGACCCCAATGAGTCAGCCAGCATTGCGCGTGATGGAAGATCTCTTGATGGTTAAGCTTAGCATAGTTAGTGATATCGACTTTATAACTGTTCTCCAGATTTTTCATGCCTGTAGCATTTTCAATTGCCATTATAATTAATAATGACGTCATATCGATATGTTCACTTTGTCTGGTTTTGTTGCAGCATGCCCCATTTTATCATTTATTTTTAAATATCTGTTTTCTTCCCCAGTCAAGTTTTTATTGACGGTATAAGGTAAAACCACTATTTCTATCGTCGGTAGTAGTGTTAAATCTTGTTATTAGCACTACGGAACTTTAGCAATCAGGGATTATATCTAGTATATATAGCACTTGTAAAGAACTCTCACCTTTTAGAACCTAGGCTTTTAAACTAATCCCGTTAAAAGAAATCGACGTTTTACTATAGGCTAGATTTATTTCCAGAAATAGCATACTAATACACTCTACAATTTAGATAGTGAGTATAAATCCTAGATACAGGTATTGTACTCTACACATTACCGAGTCACTACTCTATGTCCTCAATGCCGCCTTAGTCAGAGACAAAGACAAAGGGGAAAATCTCTTTTATACACTTCTTTACATATCACGTTATGGAACAATGTTTTGAAATGGAAATGACGATTACTTCCGCTTTTGCATTCGTTATTGAGAATTCTGCTGTCAATTATGACTGGGATAACTGGCAATTTGAGGCATAGTTACAACAATCGATGATTCCATTTACAAACAACATTTGCATATTACTTTGAAAGTTGGGAAATGCACATGTCATGATCAAATTGAGTTTATCGTAACTGTAAATTATCAGATCATTGCAGTCGCTACTTTTATCTGACTTCTTATTTCCATCTGTTAATTAAGTGATTTACCTTTGTACAAAAAAAATTTAATGTCTCAGTCAAGTAAAATGTTTCGTCTACTATAATAATAAGATTATTACATGAAATCAAGAATTTGGTTTGATGTTTTTTCTCTTGGATAGCAATATGAAACAGTATTGTAAACTCTCGTGAATGAGGGCCTACCTTCACCATATGGGTCACTTATTCATTGATATGTTTTGTTGTGCTACAAATCGCGTAACAATTGTCCGTGCCGTGTTATCTATTACATATGACTTTCGAACTCAGTCTTTTCCATTATATATTATAGTTTGATTATAACTCGCGGTATGGTTAAGCTAGTCGCCATCAAACTTGAAGCAATTGATTACGCAAAATGTGTAGGAAATAAAGCAGCAGCACAAATGTCTGTTATTCACACCCAGATAGCGCAATGGGGAAAGAAAGAAGAAAAATTAAAAAAAGTAAATAGATGAAATAGAAGAGTCTGTAGCATATCCATTAGCGGAAAATGCTTTGAAAAATGGAAAGAATGGATTTCGCAATAGATAATTAGGCGCTACCCCATCCCTAGTTAAATGTAAAATGACTGAATTGTACAATATCCGAAGGCTGACTGAAGCGCTACAAATTCTCCTTTAGTAGACGTACCAAAAATTATCCCAAGATATACAGCAGAAAGTTACTGACTTCCAAAAATATTCGTACAGAAAACAACTTTGTTTTATAATTTAGTGACTCATCTTTTTTATTTAATGCGCTATCCGCATGCTAAATACAGATCAATGTGTCTATCTGTACGATGTACATAGGGGTAATTTGTGGCAGTATGCTCAGTGGAGAAAAAAAAATTCGTTGGAGTATTGCTTGAGATAAAGCATGGCAAGAAAAAACGCTTTTTAGTCAATGTGAATGTGGCACTTGTCTAATTTATAGCAAGTCAATGTCAAATATAAAGTATAATCGAGACATACTGTATTAAAATACGCCGGTTTTTATTTATCGTAATCATAAGACATTCCCAAACACAATTTATATTTACGGCACAGTTCATTAGATTGATCTCATTTGCATGTAAAACATAGGGCTACCCGTGACAGTTTTCCAATACTGTATACGTAGGGGAGTACAGTCATCCCTCGTTTATATCCCCACTTTGGGACGGAGACTTTTTGGGGATATATCTGAAGTGGGATATAAC